TGTGTACTCAGGACACAGGCTCTATACACCTGGATCTTGGTATATGCCGTCAGCTTCTTATTGAGCCATACTCTCTTTGTGAGTCTAGAGAACATGGTAGCTGCTTTGCCAATGCATTTATCCAGCTCGACATCTAGGGAGAGGGTGTCAGAGATCGTTGAGCCAAGGTACTCAAAATCATGAACAACCTCCAATTCTTGCGTGGAAACGTTAATAGAGGGAGGTGAGTCCATGTCCTGGCCCATGACTTGTGTTTTCTTCAGGCTGATTTTTAATCCAAAATCTTGGCAGGCCTTACTAAAATGATTCATAAATTGTTGGAACTCTTCAGCAGAATGGGCAACAACAGCTGCATCATCAGCAAAGAGGAACTCCCGCATGCATTTCAGTTGGACTTTGGTCTTCTCTCTCAATCTAGAGAGATTAAAGAGCTTTCCATCTGATCTAGTCCAGAGATAGACACCTTCTGTTGCAGTTTCTAAGGCGTGCTTCAGCATGACAGCAAAAGAAATCCCAAACAGGGTCGGTGTGAGGACACAGCCCTATTTCACTCCGCTTCAGATGTCAAAGGGATCTGATGTTGAGCCATCAAAAACTACAGCTCCCTTCATTTCCTCATGAAAGAATCTCATCATGTTAAGGAGTCAAAGTGGACATCCAATTTTGGGAAGTATTTTAAAAAGGCCGCCCCTTCTAACCAAATCAAAGGCCTTTGTAAGATATATGAAGGCCACAAAGAATGGCTGTCATTGTTCCCTACATTTCTCCTGTAACTGTCTGAGGTAAAATACCTTGTCAGTGGTGGATCCATTAGCGTGAAATCCACACTGTGATTCTGAATAGACTCTGTCTGCAAGCACTTGTAGCACAACACAGGTAAGCAGCTTCCCTACAACACTGAGAAGAGAGATGCCAGAGTACTTATTGCAGTCGCCCCGTCACCTTTGTTCTTGTACAATGTGATGCTGTTTGCATCCTTCATGTCCTGTGATACTCCACCTTCCCTCCAGCAAAGACAAAAGATTTCATACAGCTCAGTGGTGATGATCTCCTTACAGCACTTTAACAGGGATGTTATCCTTTCCCGGTGCCTTGCCAGAGGCAGGAGAATCTAAGGCCGCTTTTATTTCTGCTAAAGTTGGTTCACTGTCCAACTCTTCCAAGACAGGCAGGCACTCAATGTTATTTAATGCCTCTTCGGTTACTGCATTCTCTCTGGAATATAGATCGTACTGCACCCAGTGGTCCATCTGCTGCACTCAGTCCTGGATGATCACGGCTGTAGCAGTCTTCAAAGGAGCAGATTTCTTCTGTATTGGACCTAAAGCCTGCTTGACACCATCATACATTCCCGTGGTGTTACCTGTGTCTGCTGCTATCTGTATCTGAGAGCAGAGCTGAAGCCAATAATGGGCAGTAGCACTGACTCCAATAAAACGCCACAGTGCAGAGGCAAGCAGGCAGTCCCAGGGAAGGCGGCAGTCAGCCTGTCACACAAAAACTAAGGCAAGGGTGGAATCACCTCCTCTCTTCAACCACCGGCTTGGACTGTGGCTTTTCCTGGTAATGTAGCAGCAAGGTGCCTCTGCTTTTTAAAAACACTAACAACATGACTCCATGTTGAAGGAATGCTCACACCCTAACCCATCTATGAGGCTTACTGAGGCGATCTTCAGAGGCTCACCAGAAGCACCCACCCCATTGCTCACAATCTCAGGTAAGGCAGAGAGTCAGCAGAGAATGAGACTTTTCAATGGTGGTACCCAGTTTGTGGATTTTTCTCTCAGAGATACCTCTTAAGGTAAAGGTAAATATTCCCCTTGACATTTAGTCCAGTCGTTTCCAACTCTAGGGTGCAGTGCTCATCCCCGTTTCCAAGCCGTAGAGGCAGCGTTTGTCCGAAGACAGTTTCTGTTGCCACGTGGCCAGCGCGACCAGACATGGAAGGCGGTTACCTTCCCACCGAGGTGGTACTTATTTATCTACTCGCATTTGCATGCTTTTGAACTGCTAGGTTGGCAGGAGCTGGGACAAGCGACCGGAGCTCACTCCGTTGCGCGATGACTGCTGGTCTTCTGACCCTGCAGCACAAAGGCTTCTGCGGTTTAACCCACAGCGCCACCACCTCCCTGGAGATACCTCTTACAAAGAGGCTAATTAGGCTTGTGCCAAAATAGTAATTTTCCTATGGTTTTCAATGTGTTTTTGATATAACTGTCCATACAAACGAGAAAAGCACTGGAATGGTATTGAATTCCTTCCCCCTCCTAAACGCTTTTTAGAACACTTTCTCAGTGTTGGCGCCTCTCTACTGCCAGCCAGAGCACGCAAAGGTGGCTGCGCCCGCCACGTCCAACGCAACGTCTGTGGTCCCTGAAACCACCACTCGCCCGCCGGCCTTGGGGAGCCAGCGAGGCGCGCTCCTTACTCTGTCCGGACCAAGAA